TTTTTCTGGTATGAACCCAATACCTTACGAACGCTTTGAGGAAATATCTCCAAATTTAGCTCAAACGTCAACTTGGACTCAAGGAGAACCTGATCAGAATTTGGTGGACAAAAGTCAAACATCACAAATACGCCAAGAAATGTGAAATAATAAACTAAAAGAAATACATCTAAATGTAGGAAACATTTGGCAAAAAAACGACGAATGTTGCGTTTTTGTATGTATGTGTTCTTTCCATTGACTTATATTCATTATAGACCCATACAACTGCACCAAAACAACAGCCAACACCCAGATGTTCATACATAAACATGTCAAGGACACTATTGACTTGCATTCATCACGGACCTACAAAAACATTTAAAACAATATTTCCGTTGACGTCCATTAACTCCCAAACATCTAAAACCAAACCTACAAAAATCGATATATTTCCATTGGCTTCCATTAATCCACATATCTATATCATACCATACATCTACATGTATTATAAAAGGTAATATTTTCCATTGATTTGTATTCATTATAGACACAATTAACCACACCGAAACAATAGTAGATGTTCATACGTAAACATTTCAAACAGGACACTATTGACTTGCATTCAACACGAACATCTAAAAACCCAAAACATAACAGTACTTCCATTGGCTTCCATTTATTGCCAAACATCCACAACTACTGAACTTGTTGTCATAAACTGAAACCCTCTTACACATCTACACGTATTATAATAATACATATATTCCATTGACTTGCATTCATTTTCCAATTTTCACCCCAAAACAGGCCGAAAATGTCTCGATTTTTTTATTTTTCCTGCAAATAGGCGCTTTCACACTGCGGTACTTTTCCCACAAAGGTTCATGTGAACTCTTTTATCGCGTTCACACCAAAAAGAGCCGGTACTAAAATTAGTTCATGTGAACCTTTTTACCCCCTCGAAAGTCCCTGCTAGAGAGCAGAGAGCTGCTAGAGAGCAGGGACTTTCGTACGGCTCTCTTGTGAGAAAAGAGCTACATTTCTGATTGGCTGGAAGGATTGCAAACCACGCCCCGCAAAACTCCCAAAAAGTTTTGTGAAGCCGCCATTTTATTATCCTCGCATTAGCATTATTAGCATTAGCATTAGCCCAGCGCAGAAACGCAGAGAGACTAACTTATGGCAACACCAAATAAAACATGGGAGCGGTGGAGATGAGGAGGTGTCGGCGTTCTGGCGATTTACTCGGAAGGCTTCAGTAGAAGCTGCTGGGAGTCCCAGCAGCTTCTACTGAAGCCAGTCCCCAACTCCGGGGACTTCCGGCCGGGGACTTTGGGTGGCAGTATACGCTGTGAAGTGGTTTGCGGCCTGCCAGTAAACCCAAAGCAGAAGAAGAAGAAGTGACGTCAGCGGCTTCATTTGCCTAATCCTCCCCCAGGGACTTTTTCCAGTGTGAACGCGATCTGTACTTAGTTCATGAGAACTAAAGAGTTCTCATGAACTAAGTTCACATGAACCTTTGTGGGAAAAGTACCGCAGTGTGAAAGCGCCTAATGTGCGTTAAAGTCTTACTGTTTTCACCTGAAGATACTTAACCCATCCTGCTGTGTGTGTGTGTGTGTGTGTGTGTGTGTGTGTGTGTGTGTGTGTGTGTGTGTGTGTGTGTGTGTGTGTGTGTGTGTGTGTGTGTGTGTGTGTGTGTGTGTGTGTGTGTGTGTGTGTGTCAGAGTGTGTATGTGTGGCGTATTAACCTGTCTAAGTCGGAGAAGTATTGGGACGGCTGGTTCAGAGGAACGTCCAATCTTTTCCTCGCCTTCAACCTTCCCAAACTACTGCTGCTCGCCGGTACGTCTTATAAAACAGTCGTATTGTATGTCGAAATAAGGCATGGTACAGTACTACTAAATACTGTTCATATTTAAATTAATTATATGACCGTCTATGTTTCTTCTAGTTATTTAATTGCTCTTTTGACGGCACTGTTAGTGTACGGTTTTATTATTGTGCTGCTGTGTTTATTGTATTTTTCTAACTCTGGCACAACAATGTCCTTCGGGATAAATGAAGTATTATCTTATGTTATATCTTTCAGTATGTCGATAAAAATGACAGAAACTACATAATATACCCTTAAGGCAAGAAGTGAACTTCTGTGTACGTAGTGCTGCAGAAGATAGTCTTGAACATGGAAATGAATCGGCAACGCCACACTTTTTGTTCCCTTTTTCTCGAAGACAATGGTTTTGAAATCAAATATATATTTATGTTTTTCCCACTTACTTGAAGTCTCTGCTTTCCAGGAATCGACCGGCTGGACAGAGCTCTGACAATCGGACAGATGCAAGGTGAGAAACTCATTCAAACTCACGCATTGAGAAACTTCCATTTCTCAGGAAGGTGTCTCCAAACATGTAATGACAAATAAAAGTCTTCAAAATTGCAAAAAAAAAGTAGGATAATAACGCGAAAAATGTCTGAATGTATGCGACACACTATCATTACTTCTGAATACTTAGTTACTAGGGCTGATGGGAAATGTAGTCCTGGAGAAACAAAGAATACAAAAGTAGAGAAACACAATGATTTGGGGAATACTTGACATTCTTCTCACACTGTGTTTCTACTAACTGTGAGGGAAAAGGTGAAGGAGGTCTCTGAGGACACACACACACACACACACACACACACACACACACACACACACACACACACACACACACACACACACACACACACACACACACACACACACACAGCTGGAGGCGGCAGCTCCTCTCCACAGTCAGCTGCTCCCGTCAGTCAACACGCTGGAAGTGACAGCCAGGGAGTGTGTGTGTGTGTGTGTGTGTGTGTGTGTGTGTGTGTGTGTGTGTGTGATAAACTAGCATCAGTGTTTGTGTGTGTGTGTGTCCGCTTCGAGCGATAGAATTACTAACAAAGCACTTATATACTAATAAAGGACTGGCTTATCTAAAGCCAGTTGAGTAGCACTTGAAATGTTTGGCTCTATGAAACCTGATGTACTTTATGATTCTGTTTTCTTCAAGGTTGTATTTTGTTGGTCGAACGCACTTATTGTAAGTCGCTTTGGATAAAAGCGTCAGCTAAATGTAATGTGTGTGTGTGTGTGTAGGTAAATTCATGATGCAGGTGCTGCCCCCCTGTGGACACGCAGTGCTAGAAGACAAACCGGAAAAAGTAAGAAAGTGGTTTTATATAAATGTTATTTTTTTATATTCCAATACCACCAAAGAAGAACAGAGATAATAATGTGGTGTGTGTGTGTGTGTGGTATGTGTGCGTGTGTATGGGTGGGTGGTGTGGTGTGTGTGTATGGGTGGTGTGTGTGTGTGTGGTGTGTATGGGTGGTGTGTGTGTGTGTGTGTGTGTGTGTGTGTGTGTGTGTGTGTGTGTGTGTGTGTGTGTGTGTGTGTGTGTGTGTGTGTGTGTGTAGGTGGCAGACGCCGTGGCCTCCTTCCTGTTGAGACACAAGCTGGCTGAAGCCAGGAGGTAACACATTCCCCTAAATGCTGTCTTACTGCAGAACATTATATTTACAAACCTGAACCTGAAGTGTTGTCCGTCTCCTCCTCAGCGTCGACTCCTTCACTCGATGAGGTCTGGAGGTAAACACTTAACATCTGGCCAACAGTTCAATTCATTCTAGATATATTGAGTTCATGTTTTCACAGGTTCCTAAAATCCAGTTTTCCTTTCTGCAAAAGAAACGGATATCAAACGTGATTTGATGAAAAATGACCAGTCATGTAACAGGAAGCTTTAGTTTCCTGTAGTTAGAGACAGAAATGTAAAGTAAATATCTAACACGCTTCTCTTCCTCAGGTTCCTCTCAGCCAACAGATCAACATCTTCATCTTCATCTTTTATCAGAAGCTGCAGAAGTTTCTAGTTAAGACTGAATGTCTTTTGACTTCCTGTTGTTGTTGTTTAGTTCCTGACCAAACATGATTAAATACTGAAGTTAAATTAAGCTTATATGGCTTTTATAATAATTCAATATACTCATCATCGGTTCCTCCGGTAGACAAGTTAACACTAGTCATAAATGAGTTGTTTTCATAGACGAGCACTTAGTTTGTTGGATTAATTAACAGGTTTCTTTCGACCAGACTTTAAAGTGGGCTTTCTAGTTTTGCAGGATTATTAAGAACAGCCATTTTGGAGACATTAATGTTGACAAGTACCTGTATGGGTTAGATGTATAGATCGATGTGTTCAGTATTAAACTGTGATTTATCAACCTGTCTGTTCCGATATTTTATTTAGTTATTCCAGGAAATGTTGTTTATGGTTGTTTTTGTGTAGAAATTACCAAATTGAATTCGACAAATTCATTAAAATATATAATTTTGACAGAAGATGCTTCTTTGTCAAAGATGATTTAAAAAAGAGAATTTACATCAAGGTGTCTGAGATTAAAGAGACGTAAAGATCGCTGACAGTGAATTGGGGTTATTGTCAGTAAACGAGTAATCATTATTAATGATATTAGGGGTAATATACTGAGGGAAAAAACTCAAAATTAACGAGAAAAACATGTTTAATCTCCGAGGTTAAAGTGTATGAGAAAAATACTCTACAATAAAAAAGAAAATCTATAAAAAAGCGATCATTGTTATCGTCATTTGGGAAAAACATATATAGATTATTCATACATATAGAGAAATACAAACAAAAATAATATTTTTTTTTTTTTAGATGACAAACGGCTGGAGTTCTGAAATTCCAGGAAATGTTGTGAAATGACGAAATTGAATTCGGCAAATAAAAAAAATAATTATGATAGAAGATGCTTCTTTAAATCCTCCTACGATAAAAAATTAAAATCAAGTCATTTGTAAAAAAAAAACATATAATTCCACAAACTAAAGTAGAGAAATTCAAACAAAAACAGTCAATTTTCATAATTTAAGGGAGAAAACCACTTTTTTTTTAAAAATCCAACAATTTTTTTTGAGATGACAAAAACAGCTGGAGTAAATAAAACAAACCAAAAATGTTGAATTACATTTTTATTTAAATTCTGTCCTGAATCAGAACACGTGCAACAACTGAAACACAGAAACAACATGGCGTATTTACACGTGTGTGTGTTTTGTGTTAGCGTGCACAGGACAACCACACATACGGACGCTTCGTAAAACGATAACAAAAATCGCAGAGACACGACAACATTTCGCACCCTGCCGTCACATAGCTTAGCGGTTAGCATGGCTACTGACACCTCAACTTTCTCCGTCTCTCTGGGAGGAACGGAGGTTTTTGTTTCTCACGGATATCTCTGTTTTTGTAACGCTAAATTAAAGAAGATTAATTCAATTCGACAAAATAATATTGGCTTTATGTCAGGTTTTTTTGGCTACTTTTTTAAACTGTAAAATTCCAGCTGGATTACAAGGGAAGAGCATACATTACAATACATGGCAGTCGGACAACAGACACATGGAAGTATTATTAAAAAAAAAACATTTTCCAGATCAGTCACAACGTTTTTAACACCATCGCACAAAATGTGAGTGAAAATAGGAAGGAAGAAATTAGAAAATCAAAGACTTTTTTCCAGATCCTTAAAGAGAAACAGAGTTAAAGTGCATCAACCAATCAGAAAACAGCATCCAGAGAGAACAGCCAATGAGCTGTGAGGAGAGGCAAGAGAAAACAACCAATCAGACGTCATTACTGGCAGTGACACGAGGGTCTCACGTTCGATTAATGGGAAATTAGTTTTTGTAGTGATTTACTAAACCTTTAATTACTATTATTAAGTATTTTCAGATTTAGAGGCGGATTGTCATCGTTCAAAATCACGGAGGATCTGAAAAACAACGCTATGTACACGCAGAGCTTTAAAAAAAGGTCTTGAACACAATTCAATGTTGAGAATTACGTCCTTAAAATAAAAAACATTCTCCAGCCTTCATTCTCTCAGATTTCATCAGGCTTCAAAACAAATAAAACTCAAATTACAATATTTTAGATTCGTATTGCAAACGTCATCTGTATGTACAATTACACAAATACTCAACACTTAAAATAACAATCAATCTCATTGGGGGGGGGGGGGGGGGGTCAGTCTCTGCTGCTCGGGGTCTTCGTTACAAAAATAAAACGTCTCCTCTGGTATCAAAATAGACGACAATCTCTTTCTCTCTTGGCGCCGGCGAACGTGTGGAATATACATTTTATATTTACATGCTAACGGCTAACGTGGGGGGAAATAGGGACGCACAATTTAGGGGAAAATACGTAATTGCGATTTTTAACGTTATTGGATTTTCTATTTATGCTAAAATAATCATGGTACAAATATTTTTTCGTATGTCAGGACCACAAAACTTATTTTCCGAATGCTATGACGGCACATTGTTGGAGCTAACCAAATATAGCGTATGTTGATATCGTACGAGTCGGAATTGCGGTAAATTCCCGGTAAATTGTGCAGCCCCTACAGGGAGGGATTCTTCGCTAAACTATCTCCGACTTTTCCTCGTCTTTCACACATTGCTTTGGTGGCATTTGAACTCTGGAAATGGCAGCGAACACCGTTTAGTGGCGAAGGTTCAGAAAAAGATCGTAGAGTCACGAGCGAAAGATCGGATATTTGATTGTCAGTGTTTAAATGTGTTTTTTTTTTTTAAGGCAGCGTGAGGCTGGCAGACGGACGGACAGAAAAACAAAACAACGCTAAAGGGTTTTACGTTTTTTTTTTAAATATTCCTACGTGGTATTTTAACGCTAACTCTTTCTTTAGCCAGGCAGACACTACATAGATAAACCAGGATTTTAATCGTCACTTCCGACTCGTAACATTTAATTTTTTTTTGCCAGATTTGCCGATTATGACACATCGGCGTACTTCTGATATTTACGACAACAAAATTCCAATATGGCTAGCTTCAAATTGTCGTTTATAAACTGTACGTTATATTACATTTAAAGTAGTATTTTTTTGATCATTTTTGGAAATGTTCGTAGCTGAAGACAAAAATATCGTATTTAAATTAGGACTGTATTTAACTGAATAAATATTTAATTTACGATAATTTTTGACTCATTGCAATTGCGATGGGATTCACGATATGTGAGGGAATGAAGATTACAGCGTCTTTATTCCCATTTTTATTGAAAAATACATTAAAATTATCACAATTTTATTTTTAACAATGATCTGTAATTATTGTGTTTTCACATATTTTGTCTTCATCAAATATTGCACTTTCTACTTTTTGGATATTGCAATAGCCCGTATTACAATTCTGATATAATTACGATTAAGCCCTAGTTTAAATAAACTTGATCGGAATTGTCACTTGACAAAATCGACTAGGGTTTTTAAGTTAGCTTTAGCAATAGCTTTGCATCGAGGATTAACGTTTTTTGTGTATCGTTAAAATAACAACAACAATATAAGCATGCAGTGTCTGCCCAGCCTCAGGGATGTTTGTTTCTATTTAAATGACGTAATTAGAGAAAGTAATTATTGATAATGTCCTCCATTATCGTGGCATTTCTCCCGACATTAAGACCCAAGCTGCAGGATTTGTGTAAAGTTTCAAACACTTATTTCCATCTGTGCTTTAAAGTCGTTATTATCTGTACTATCACTCTCACACCTTATATTATTTTGTACAGAGCTTTTGCCAGAACCCGAATACTGTCAGTTCTTCTGAAGATAGAGGAGCCTGAATTAAACAGGCAGAAAGAGAAACAAAAATACTGTGAGAACTTCAATTCAATACTGCAGTCACTGAAGCTGTAATACTGCCACGACGAGTCGGCAAAACAAACCGGATTCACTGCCGGGTCCTTTCAAGGTAAAAGGCCTCAAGACATTGTTGGCCGGCAAATCAAAATGAGCTATAACAACCAGAATCAAACCTCCACGAGGGGCTTCTGTTAAGCTGTCCGACCTGGAAACACCAGGTAACAGAATGTTCCACAAAAAGGTCCAGAGAGCGGGAGAAACAAATCTAGAGTTCTCGCCTTTTTTTAAACTCAACGTGGTGTTTGTAGTCCTCCATCAAAGATCCTCCAGTGTTTCTGATGAAGGATAAACCTTTTTGGCCGCCGACTTCCTCCGGATTTTACCCTCTTTTCACGAATACCGAAGAGTTAAAACGTGGCCCAGTGTGAATCCCGTCCGACCCTCGTTAGGTCCGTTAAGTAACGAACGTCCACCGTATTTAAAATGAAATTTAGAGGACCAGGAAATACGTTTTTGGACACATCTAGAGTTATATATTCCAGTCGGGAAACACGTGGTAAATCCAAGTGAACGCAATGGATACAACCCAGGTCCAGTTCTGGTTCCAAACCCGCCAAGCGTCCAGAAAGAGACTCTGAAAGGGAATCCAAACCAGGTCCTCTGAGTCCAGATTCAAACCAACACTCACAGGTGTATCCACACTGGGAACAACCTGTTCAAAGTCTAGTCAGAAAGGGGTCCAGGTCCAAAGAGAAAACCCCAAACTCTGGTTCTGGTTTTAGTTCCCAACTTCAGTCAAAAGTCAGAGCTTTTAAAGAGTTTCCTTCCCAAATAAGTCCGTCTCAACAAACCGTTGAATCTCCTTTTTAATCTTTGTTATCCGGAGGGTTTAATCTGAACCTAATCACTGAGTTCTGGTTCTGGTTCGGCTCCTCTCAGGACTTTTCCCCCAGCTGGTTCTGCTCCCCGGACCCCTCCTCGTCCGACAGACCCGTCTCCACGGTGATGACCAGCGACGCCACGGAGCTGCTCGCCATCGGCTGCAGATCGCCTGGAGAGAGGACGGAGAATAATAGTTTCATGTGTGTTTGTCTGAGTGTGTGTGTGTACCTGTGTGTGTGTGTGTGTGTGTGTGTGTGTGTGTGTGTACCTGTGAGTGTGTCAGTAGTCATGGTAATAGGGCTGTCTCTCAGAGGGTCCTGGTAGTCCTGAGGCAGTCCAACCCTCCTGACCCCGGGGTCCAGCAGCACGGAGGAGTCCCCCCCCCTCACTGAGGGTCCCGTCGCTCGACCCCCCCGACACCACGGCCTCCAGAGCCAGCGCCCCCCCCGCCCCCCCCCACGGTCAGGTCGTAGTCCAGAGGGAGGTCTTCCAGACAGTCTGCGTTCAGCTGGAGAGAGAGGGGGCAGTTTAGAGATCCGTTTTAATTAACAGTTTTCAACAAGATAGCACGAAAAACAATCCTGACAACAAAGAAATCGGGAGAAAAGGTAAGTGAAATAGAAGGACAGACAGGAAATACAAATATTAAATCAACAAGACAGTTAAAGTAGAAAGAAAAGAACAGATCAAATATGAAAACACTCTTTAGAACCAGTTCATCAACAAAAGAGGCTTAGCAGCCAATCAGAACACAGCATCCAGATAGAAGAGCCAGGAGAGGCGGGACCAAGAGAAAACAACGTATCAGAGGTCATTACTGGCTGTGACACAAGAAATATATATTTTTAATTGATTTAAATGACCTATATTAACTATTAAACCCTAATGCAAAAACAAAATACATTATATGGTGATTCACGATGTTTGAAACACATTTTCTTGACTGACTTAATGCAGATTCCTCATTTATTCCGCAGTGCGTAAAAGCAGGTTGTAAAACTGCTTTTGTGCTATTGCACTGCAGAAGTTGGCACTCTTAACCAGTGTTGTGCTAGTTACTGAAAACCAGTAACTAGTTACCATTACTAGTTACTTCATGTCAAAAGTAACTCAGTTACTTTACTAGTTACTTACACCCAAAATTAATGCGTTACTGTGAAAAGTAACGTTTTAGTTACTTGAAAAAAGGGCTCCCATTAATGCCCTTATAGCCTTCACTTTAGTACTGTTATTGCATTGGAGAATAATACAATCTGTTGATCAACTTGACATGCATTATATGCAATCTGGATTGCATCGATATTAGCTGGCTTTCCATTTTTGTATATTCTTTCTCCAGGTAGTTGGAAAAAGTGTTCCGTCCCATATGCCGTGTGCCGCCCGGACATGCTATCATGCTAACTAGCTCCCTGAAAGCGGGTGACTCCACTGTAGCAATAGCCTGCATGTGTTCTACAACATACCGTGCAATGGCTTTATCCACTTTTCCCTGGCTAGCAGTCCCTTGGTTAAAATCCAGCCGCTGTTGCTTAGGTGGAGGTGGAGTGGCGTCGGCTGAGTCTCTGTGGTCTTAGCTACTAGCTTCGTCCCAGCATGTTGTTTTTGCAGATGTTTTAAGAGATTTGAATTACTGGTTTGGGCAGTAGATAGGATCTTTGACCCGCCAAGACACAACTTACATTTAACAGAAACTTTCTTTTCTTTGTGCTCGACAAAAGTGAAATAGTGAGAATATCTCCAGGTGGAGAAACTAGACTTGAGCTCCGCCGCCGCCATGATAGTCTTGTTAGTAAACACAAACACGCCCACAGCGCGTCTCCGCATGTGACACAGGAAGTATCTAAGTACATTTACTCAAGTACTGTACTTAAGTACAGTTCTCATCTCTGTTCGCCTGGCTGTTGACTATATAAAAAAAACTAACACAGTAACGGAGTAACGCACCATGTAGTAACGGTAACTGAGTTACTGAATTTAAAAAGTAATGCGGTAGAGTACTAGTTACTGCCACAAATAACGGCGTTACAGTAACGCGTTACAAAGTAACGCGTTAGTCCCAACACTGCTCTTAACTCTTCCTCAGTGTTTTGAAGCCGTCCTGCAGCCTCTCCTCTTTGTCTGAACAGAATATATTGAATGAATGATGTTATATTAGAGACTCACAGCGATGCCGAGGGCTTTGAGGATGTTCATCTTGCACATGGGGCAGGTCCGGTGGTCCAGCAGCCAGGGGTCCACGCAGCTCTTATGGAACAGGTGTCTGCAGACAAACACAGCTTTAACTACTGAGTCACACACTCTAAACCACCTCCCTCTCCCTGTGTGTGTGTGTGTGTGTGTGTGTGTGTG